ATGTAATGCGATATGCTGGATTCTGTCCTGCAATAGCATCACTGGAAAAACTGGTGAGATCCAAATCAAGTCTGGGGTTTAGTGAAAAGTATTGCACTGGTGTTCATTTCTTAGTTATGACAAATGTACTGCAGTTAGGTAAGGCGTTATCATGAGGGGAAGTTGCATGAAGGGTATATGGGAACTCTTGGTAGTATATTTGCAAGTTCTCTGTAAATCTAAAATGATTCCAACATAAAAAGTTAGTTAAAAAAGAAAAATATTAAAGGAGCATGCTGTGGGCTTCCGTGGGCAGCTTCTGGGGGATCTCATCAGCCCCTGCTGGGAGTTGTCATCTTTTTGGGATTTCAATCATGGGCCTCTTAACGTTAATCATGATTTTCTCCTGAAATGTGTGTGGGCTGGTGTTTATCACACCCGCAGGTTCTGGTTTTGTCCAGCAAAAATATTGAGAAGAAAGCAGAGTGAGCCCTATAAGATGGCCAGTGATAGCAGTAATAATGATAGAATAGTGCACTATTGAGAGCTCACCGTGTGCCAGGCACTGCACTAAGAACTTCATGTGCATGATCTCATTTAGTCCTTGTCACCACTGTTAGTTAAGGCCCAGTCTTAGCCCCATTTATAGAGGAGGAAATTGACTTTCCCAGTGTCACACAGCCTGGCACACTGTAGATCTGGGAGTTGAGCGCAGACCAGCCTGACAGTAAAGCTGTTGCTCTTAATCACTGCCTCCCCTCTCCCCAGTCATTGCCTCCTTAGCTCTGCCAACAACAGGCCTTGGGTTCAAGTTATTAATCCTCTCTCAGGTTGGGATTTCAGAGGCCTGGGCCTTTCAGAAATGCATGGAAGGTTTTCACCCATCAGCATCATGTGATGAGGGGAGACCAGGTCCCACGGCACTGCTTCAGGTCTCTTGTTTGACCAGCTCTACTCAGAGGCAGCACAAGGTNTGGTGGCTATCAGATAAACATTTCAATCCCATAGGACACATTTTTTAAAATGATATGATCATTTTACTTAAGTTTTTAATATTCCAATATATCAGAAATTATATAATCAGCAACCTAAAATTTTAAAAAATATTAATGTCAATTTAAAAACTTGTGAGAGTCCTGGGGGTGACATAGTTCTTATGCAATTCTTTTCTAGATTAGCTGGAACAAAAATGTTGGAAGATTACTCTCTCGTGATAAGAAGCTGCCTTTGTCATGTGCTAAGTGATATCCTTGCATCCTGAAGGGGTTAAGCATCCTCCCAAACATGAATTTTCCTCATTCTCTCTCCCCTATGGGAGAGATTTAGGCACAGCAGAGCGCTCCTTCTCTATTACAGTAATTACAGTAATCTCATATAGTATTTCCTGTGACAGCAATGACAGGTCTCTCTTATCCTCATGTACATGGTGCAGTTAAAGCAACTCCTGCAGTGCTCTAACACTTCCACAGAAAACTTGGCCACGGAATTTTACAGCTTTACCTAGCCCACGAGTCCAAACTTGATACCACAAGAAAACAGTCCCAGACAGGGGCTTGGGAGCAGGGACTCTGAGCCTACCAGTCCTGGATCTCAATTTGGCCTCTGCCTCTTAGAGGCATTGTGAGCGTGGGCAAGTCGCCATACCTCTCTGAGCCTTAGTTTCCATATCTGTAAAAATGGGAGTAATTATAGCACTGCTTTCATGGGGTGGAGAGGGCTACAGACATAATGCCAGCAGAACCCTTAGCACAGAGCCTGGCACAAGATTAGGGCTCAATAAACGGTGGTTGACAAGACGCCAGAGAGGCCCCACATTGCAAAAACACAGACCTGTGATTATTCTTTAGGGGGTATCTGTGAGAATGAGGAATATAAGAAAGGCACCATTTACCCAACCCCTACTGTGTACTGGGCACTGAAGGGATTTAGGTTCCCACCTGCCAAAAAACAGGTGTTATCTCCCCCATTTTGTGGGTGATGAAACAGATCTGTAGTGAAGAGTCTCACTTAAGGTCACACATTTAGCAGGTGACTAAACCACAAACATGCAGCTATATGAGCTTATTAAGCTCTTCCCACTGAGCAAGTAACCTTATTGCTAATATCAGATGAGGCCTGGCTGCTGGAGGCACTCAGATCATTCCAGAACAGTTGTACATGGAAAAATATCATTCTGGGAGGCATTCCTAGTTAACAATTACTCTGCCACGAACTAGGATGTGTGACCTTTCGTGAGTGACTTAACCACTCTGTGTCTCGTTTTCCTCAGCTACTAATAGTACTTACCTTGTGGGGTTGTGAGGATTAAAGACACAATGTATCTTATGCATATATTATATACAATGTATGTAAAGCCATTTGCACAGTAAATGCTCAATAAATATTAGCTTTTATGAGTATCATTATTATCCCCTTATCCAGCCTAGCATTCCCTCCCTTTTAGAAGGTTGCTGGTGAACTCTCCCTAACAAAAATTGAGGGTCTGCCTCACTCTTTTTCAAGCCTCAATTCCAGGGAGTAGCAGCCCCTTACCAGTTATTGAACATCTACTATGTGTCAGGCACTGTGTTTTTTCCAGTCCTCAAATCACCCTTGCGTGGGAGGTATTGGCATCTCCTTTTTGCAAGAGTGAGACTTATAGGGTTTAAGTGATGTGCCTAGGCGGGTTCCAAGTTCCCAGCAATTAAGCAGGATGTCTGGGGCTCCCAGACAGTTGAACCCCTGGGTGTGGGAGCGCTGGCTGCCAACTTGCCAGGATATGTGAGATGGGGAGGGGAATAAAGCAAGCGGAGGGCATGGGGTTTCCATGCAGGGCTTAATTCTTTTCTGCTGAGCCTTTGGCAGCAGCAGGAGGGGGACACCCCACAGACCACCCCAGGGGACCAGAACTGTACACAACAGGAGAGCTGCCAGCAGCCTACCGAGGTCAGCAACGCAACCTGCCAGCTGGGGAGACGCCACTCGCAGTGCAGCTGTGGCGCAAGGATACTCAGGATCATCATTTCCATGGCATCGGCCATCTGCAGAGAGGAAGCAAACGTCAGGAAGCCAGGATGCCGACCCCCTGCCGAGTCCATAACCCCAGAGAGAGCACATAGAAAACCGTCTCCTGCCTGCTGAATGCCCTACCACACATCAAAACCCACTGATAGCTTTAGTAGTTCAAACAGTGTGGTGCCAAGAGGAAATTGACAACTAGACGTTAAACTTTCTCTGTGTGTGTATGTGTGTGTGTGTGGTTCCACGTTTGAAAAATAGGGGNCTCCCTTCCTCCTTCCTTCCTTCCTCCTTCCTCCTTCCTTCCTTCCTTCCTCCTTCCTCCTTCCTTCCTTCCTTCCTTCCTTCCTTCCTTCCTTCCTTCCTTCCTTCCTTCCTCTCTACGGCTCTTTCTCTGCTCTTTCTTTCAACCAGAAAAATCGCTACAGCAGCGACTCACACCCTCCAGAGACAGAAAGATGGGCAGGAGGGTGGATGAGGGCAGATCTAGAAAGCTGCCACTTGAAGACCAGAGTAATCCAGCTTCTATTCTCTTTGGGAGGCCTGGCGAGGGCTTGCCAACTAACCTCTCCAGCCCCTAACACCAAGCAAGGTCCTCCAGGCTACAATAGCTGCCATTAGTTCCCCAACCTTGCCGCCTCTGGCCACAGCCACTTCCCAGCAGTTTTATTCGTCAACATTTCCCAGGTGTCTGCTGGCCTACATGTTTCCTGTCCAGTCACAGTAGGAGGGGCTGCAGCTGGAGTCTACTTCCTGTACAGCACTGTTCAAACATTCATTCATTCATTCATTCATTCATTGAGCCAACATATATTTTCCATATTGAGCACCTACTGGAGTGCTTGCAGATGGTTAAGACAAGGGTCTAGACTTACAAACTGTGTGGTCTTGGGCAAGTAGCCCACTCCGTGCCTCAGTGTCCTCTTCTGTAAAATCAGAGTGAAAATAGTACCTACTTCAATGGCTGTTGATGGGGGTTGGCTAATGCATGTATCAAGCTTGGTATAGAGCCTGCCATGCAAGACACTTTTATTTTCAGTCCATGGCACGCTGGTTGTAGTGACCCCTGTCTGTTACGTACCCAGCATCCATATCTCCCTTCTTCCATCCTAACAGAATTCTAAGTTTGTTTAAGTATCTACCTCATTCCTAGTTCCAGGAGTAGACTTTTATTAGTCTAAGCCACTAATTCTCAAAGTGGGGTCCCTGGACCAGCAGCATCAGTATTACCTGGGAACGTGGTAGAAATGCTCTTATTGCAATACCAGCTCACGTGTGTCCTGTGCCTGGCATCATGCAAAATGATTCACACCTGTGACCTCAATTAACCCTCCAATGTAGATTCTGTTATTTCTTCTTTATACATATGAGGAAATGAATGCTCAGAGAGGTCAATTCACTTGCCCAAGGTCACACAGCCAGGAGTGGCCGAGTTGGGATTGAACCCAGGTCTGTATGACTTCAGAGCCCAGCTTTGTAACCACTATACCACCCTGCCTCTGGAGAAACTGCAGGCTGAGGAGAGTGCAAAAAAAAAACAGAAGAATAAAGCAGTCAGGTAGTACAATAGTTCAGAGCGCGCACTGCTGGAGTGGCAGTTTTCCCTGAGCAGGGGACATAACCAAGTAAAGCTTGCTTGGATCTGTAGAGATATTTTCTCCCCTAAGGCCCAAATTCATAGTTTGGAGGGCTGTAGCTGAAAGGATCAAAGAGCCCAAGCGCAGTCTAGCGAAAGACAGAGCAGCATTAAATACAAAGGGGACCATCAAAGCCACGAAGTTACAAATAAAACCGTAAGAGCTCAGTGTAATTCCAAACCTGTAAACACCTTCTTGTCGGCAAATCCATTTCGTGTCACCTCTTAGGCTGGGCTTCCCCCAAAGCAGACCCTGAGACAAGGAGTCTAGTGCAAATCGTTTATTTAGGTGGCAACCCCAGGGAGAGGCAGGGAAGGCAGACAATTCAGGGTGCCTTAATGAGAGGTTCCCCCTGGTGGCCCCAGAGCTCAATCCTGCCGGGATTGAGAGATGATCCACTTTAGGGCAAGAAAGCTCATGTCTTTCCTTACCAGCCCTTGACAGCCCCTAGCCTTGTGTAAATGGTGAGTGGCAAGGGGATCGGGTGGGGACCAGGAGCATCTTCTAGTCTGTGAAATGCACGTGTTCGGGAGCCCCTGGGAGTGTGTGATTTCAAGAATCCACAGGAGCCTCGGAGCAATGTCTTCTCACTGCACATCAACATAGCTCCTAATGAGGCCTACCAAGTGCCCAAACAGCACACGCTTTGCTACTGGTCACCATCGTCATGGAGATAACCCAGGGGACATGCGCTTAGGAGAGGTCGCCTTACTGTTTTCCTGCCGTACTGGTCTGAGATGTTTCCCCAGAGGGTGGAGCTGGACATCATGCCCACAAAGACCACCTGCGGGTGGAAAGATGGTTTCTGTTAGACAGGGACATGGAGCGTCTTGGAGAAAGGGAACAACAAACTGAACTTGTGACGTCATCCTCTAGGTAATAATAACGAGACCCTGGTAAGATGCAAACACTATTCTTTGTGCTTCATGTTACTCTTTAAACCTCACAACAATCCTGTGGGGGTGGGTGCTGCTATTCTCCCCATTTTACAGATGAGGAAACTGAGGCTCAGAAACGGGAGGTCACTTGGCCGGGGTCACACATCTGTAAGGCTGCACATGTGTAAGTGCAGATGGGCTGGAATCAGGCAGTATGGCTGCAGAGCTAGCATTTTACCAATTTCTCTCCACAGCAGAAAAATGTCTTATCCTATTGCTAAGAAAATATCAAAGGTTGGAGACAGGAGGTTGGGATGTGAATTGTAAGCTATTTGTAAGAGGAGCATTTGGGGAGCACTCACTGTGTGCCAGACAAAGTCATTGTTACATTGTTAATCCTTGAACAGAGTGGATGATGGTTGAATCGTCATACCCATTTTATAGATGGGGAGCCTGAAGCTCAGAAGGGTTAAGAAACCTCAGCATTTCAGAGAGGAGAGGGTAGAGCAGAAATTAAATCCAGGCTCAAGAGAGCTTTCCTGCTCTTGCCTTTCCTGGGCACTCACCAAATGCCAACACCACACTAAATGCTTTATACTCACGTCTTACCTAATGCTCACAGCAGCCCTATGAGGCAGGCGCCGTATTATCCCCATTTGCAGATAAGGCAACTGAGTCCCAGAGAGGTGAAGTCACTGCCCAGTGTGGTCTGACCTCAAAAGCATTCTTCCAGACATGTCCCAGCGGCTGCATATAGGCGTTCCAAGAGAGAGGCCAACATGGCTAATTTTAAAGGAATTAACGTCCAGTACCTCCACTTCCATACAGACTCTTTCCTGACTAACTGCNTCACAAACAAAATATTATCTAGTCTAAAACTTGAATCATGTCAAGGTTGAGATTTAATACAACCCTGTATTAAAGAGTGAGAGATGCTGTTAATTATACCAGAACAACTGCGAGAAGCCAGGATGTTACTAGGCACACCCATCTAGAGCTTAGAATCACAGACTTTTAAAGCTAACGATGGATGCCCTTGAAGGTAGCCCAGGCACACCCTTAAGTCTCAAGGAATTTAAATGAATTGCCCAAGATCATACTTGATTCGCGTAGATCTGCATAATTCTTTTAGACAGTCCACGGAAGAGCTTGGCTGGGGCTTAAAGCCACTGTCTAGGCCAGCAGGCCCTGGAACAATCCTCCCAAAGACCTAAGGCCACCCAAACAATGGCCTCTTTGAAAGGAGACCTTTTTTCTTTGACCTCTAGACTGTTCTGCTTAAAGTCACTGAAATACATACCCCCTAGAGTGAAGCTAGCTGGCATGCACTTGAAATAATGGTGTGAACAGCTCTGAGCTTGAAATCTTAAAAGGATTTAGTGAGTTAACGCAGAGGATCCCGAGGCTATTACAATAGCTCCCCACTTTTTGCCTGAAGTATGTGACAGTGAACCCTCATTTCTCCTCCTTGGCCAGGAATCCCCTCCTTTTGCCTCACTGTCTCAGGAGGATGGCAGCCCATAGGAAGTCTCATGTGTGCCTTAGCCACCTATTCTGGTCCTATGTCTCTGTGTAGAGGTCTCCTCATTTACAGGAAACAAAACCTACTTCTAGCTCCTCTAGAACTCAAAAAACGAGTCCTTATCAGGGTTGCCATGGGCCCAAACAGTTTGCCTGGGACCATTGCAAGAATGTAGTCATGTAATCAGTGAATCCCAACAGCCTTCCTGGTTTAACGGAATGGGATGGGGAAGCAGACAAGCAACCATGATGAAACAAGGCTAGGTCTGTCTGATCTTTCCAGATGGACTCAGCTTAATTCATAATGGTGACCGCTGCTATTAAGAAGAATGATGGAGCTGATGAACAGATTTTTTTCCCTTTTTCATTCCTAAAGTTGTTGTGGTGTTGTTGTTTTTTTAATCTCTTGGCCTACATATACTGGTCTACACTGGCATCCAGTATCAGATGGACTCTAGGCAACGTTCCACATTGGGATACATCAGACCCCTGCCGCGCAAAGCTTTCACCCTAGTGAGAGAAGACGGACACTAAACAATAAATAAGTATATTATATGGTATGTTCGAAGGTGGGAAGTGCTATGAAAAAGGGAACACAAGTAGAAGATGGTGCTGGAGGGTGGGGGAGGAGGGCTGCAATATTTTTCAATTGTGGTAAAATACACGTAAGATAAAACTTACCACTGTAACCATTTTTAAGAGTACAGCTCAGTGGCATTAAAGCATGTTCACATTGGTGCGCCACCCTCACCACCAGGCATCCACAGAACTCCTTTCATCTTGCAAAACTGAAACTCTGTATACAGTCAATAACTCCCCTTCCCCCCCTTCCACACACAGCCCCTGGCAACCACCATTCTGCTTTCTGTCTCTGTAAATCTGACTATTCTTATGTACCTCCTATAAGTAGAATCATACAGTAGTTGACTTTTTGTGACTGGCTTACTTCACTGAGCATAATGTCCTCAAAGTTTATCCATGTTGTAGCACGTGCCAGAATTTCCTTCCTTTTTAAAGCTGATTAATATTCCATTGTATGGAGAGACCCCATTTGTTTATCCATTCATCCATTAAGAGATGCTTGGGCTGCCTCCACCTTTCGGCTATTGCAAATCATGCTGCCGTGAACAGGGGTGTACAAATCTCTCTTCAGGACTCTGCTTTCAATCCTTTTGTGGTTATATACCCAGGAGTGGGATTGCTGGATAGTATGGTAGTTCTATTTTTAATTTTGTGAGGAACTGAACTGCCATACTGTTTTCCATTGAGGCTGCACCGTTTTTCATTCCCACCAACCATTCACAAGAATTCCAACTTCTCCACACCCTGTTATTTTTACTTTATTTTTCATAGTAGCCATGCTAATGGCTNCCCCAAGGTATTTGTAGAAGATAAAAACACAGAGAATTATTAGGCGAAGGGAAGAAATGAACATTTACATGCATTATCACTTCATTTTCAGGGATGAAGGGAAGGTCAATGGATCACCCTTGACTCTGAGGGGAACATCACAGAATGACTATGTGGCTTGATAATCTTCCTTGAATACTGTTTTTATCACATCCTTTCTTCAAGGACTGTCCAGGGCTCCGTACTTCCTTCTGTGACTAATAGCAACTACTGCAACCTTTTTGGAAGGTAATCTGTGGTATCTTTCAAAATTTTAAATGCTCTGCGCTCCCACCTCGAATTGTTGTGCTGGCAATTCATTGTAGAGATAGACACAAGTACGCAAAGATACGGATTGTTAGCTTGCCATATGTCAGGTCCAGTGTTTGTGCTTTGCATCCATTATCTTATTTAACCTTCACTTTCACTATCCCCATGTTCCAGATAAGGACACTCAAGCACAGAAGGGCTGGGAGATTGTGGAAGGTCACCCAGTGGGTGGTGTCTAAGCCACACTTTGGCATAGCCACCTGACTTAAAATTCCCCACTCCCAGCCACTCTACTATATTCCCTTCTGGTGTTAGCATGCTGTTTGCAGCTTTGCATGTGATAATTATTAACAAAATGTGATAAACTAAACTAGAAACAATGATCAGGAGAGGAGTAATTAGATTATGGCATAACCACTTAAGAAAATGTTTAAAACAACGTTGTTGTTTTTTTAAGTGGATCTATATCACAATAGCCAAAGGTAGAAACATTCCAAGTATCCATCAATGGATGAATGGATAAACCAAGTGTGGTCTATCCATACAATGGAATATTATTCTGCCTTGAAAAGGAAGGAAATTCTGACACGTGCTACAACATGGGTGAACTTCGAAGACATTATGCTAAGTGAAAAAAGCCCAACACCAAAGGACAAATATTGTCCACCTATGTGAGGGGGCCAAGGATAGTCAAATTCACAGAGATATAAAGCAGGGGCTGAGGGGAGAGGGGAATGCAGTGTTAGTGTTTAATGGGTCCGGAGTTTCAGTTGGGGAAGATGGAAAAATTCTGGAGATGGATGCTGGTGGTGACGATTTGCACAACACTCTGCATGTACTTAATGCCACTAACTGTCCACTTAAAATTGTCACATGGTAAGTTCTATGTTATGCATATTTCACCACAATGAATACACACACACCTCCATACCAGCTGATCTGTAAGGGCCAACAGGAAAAGATTGTTAAGGCTCATTATTAAATATACCAGAATATTACTTTGTGATGTAGGTTCTTGCTGCTAAGCCTTAATTGTCGTCTTGAACCTGGGACGCAGCATCCCCTAGGGGCTTATTAGAAAGGCAGAGTCTTAGGTCCTGACCTAGACCTACTGAATCAGCATCTGCCTTTTAACTAGGTCCCCAGGCAATTTGTATGCACGTTGAAGTCTGAGAAATGCTGCCGCGTAATATTTATGCTTCTACCGTCCTAGACATTTGGGAAGGATATGTAAGAGTCACAGTCTGGTTGCTTCTGAGGAGGAGGACTGGATGGAAACAGGGAGTTTTGAGGGAAAATACTTTTTTTTTTTTTCGAAGATTTTATTGGGGAGTTGGGGAAGGGGAAAGTGTTGGGGAATTGGGGAGGGGAACAGCCAAGTTGTTGTCCTTCAATCTTAGTTGTGGAGGGCGCAGCTAGCTCACCTCCAAGGCAAGTCGCCATCTGGCCACCCGTCGGCAACTCGCAGCCGCTCAGCTCAAGGTGTCATGTTCAATCTTAGTTGCGGGTGGGCGTAGCCACCATCCCATGCGGGAGCCGAACCAGCAACCTTGTTGCTAAGAGCACATGCTGTAACCACTGAGCCATTCGGCTGCCCATCGGCAGCTCAGGGCAGCTCAGCTCAAGTTGCCATATTTGATCTCAGTTGCGGTTGGGCATAGCCCACCATCCCATGTGGGAGTTGAACTGGCAACCTTGTTGTTAGGAGCACTCACCAGCTGAGCCATCCTGCCACCTGTTGGCAGCTCAGCAGCAGCTCAGCTCGGGCGCAGCTCACTGGCCCATGTGGGAATCAAACCAGCAACCCTGTTGCTCAGAGCTCGTGCTCTTAACCGACTGAGCCACTTGGCCGGCGCTGGACCTTTTTTTTTTTTTCTCACCTTTTGTTTTGGACCCTTCTGTAATGTTTGTGATGTTTAACTGGACATCTATACTTTAATAATAAATATATATAACAATAGCGACTATTTACAATGCTCTTATTGGTCAGGTAGCATCTGCTAAGCAGGTTACAGATGCTTCCATCTGTGAAATAGGGATGATGACAGGCTTGCAGGACCATTAAGAAGATTAACAGAGCTTGATGAAGGGGAAATTGTGGGCAGAGTAAATATTAGCTTCCCTCCGTCATGGTCTCAAGTCACCTTTCAGCCTTGAGCACCGAGTGCCCTGACCTTTGTGAAATGTGACATTGAGAAAGTAGCTCAGCTCCCTGAAGTTTTAAACCAGGATCTGTCCACATTCCTTCCCTGGCAAACCACTAAAGGCCAGGGAACCTTGATTAATGAATGCTTGTTTTAAGACAGACATAAAAGAGAGACCTTTGACATTAGACTCAGAAAACCAGGCTACATTTTGAATGAGTCGGGTTCCTAAAAGTATTTATCAACCACACGAGCCAAGATTTCCCAAGGGGAAAAAAAATAATGAAATATGAAAGAAAAAGAAAATAGCAGTGGCATATGTTATATAGATGATGGCTTCCAAACAGGCTGGCTCACAATTTCTTGGCATTTGTGGTGTATAGATAGCATAAAATTCACCAAAATAGCAGGGAACATTTATTTTACATAATTTTGTTATTTAAAGAAGAGCTTGAGGAAATGGCTGTCAACTTAAAAATCGTTTTGGCACCATCATGTAA